AGACCTGTTTGTGGGGTGTGGGGATTCAAGCTTGTTCGTGGGAAGAATCATGCATGTGTTTTTGAATATATTTCTTAATTGCTGTTGGTAAGAAGATATCGACTTCTAAGATCCTATATTCAATGGTTGGTAATAGTGCATCATGTATCTGTGTGATTCAGTGTTACGAGGTTTGCCGTCTAGATCACGTGGAAGTGCTCTAGGCTCTCGAAGTAGGTTTATAACTAGGCGTCAAGCAGGGACTTGAAGTAATGACAATAATGATATGCAATTCGTAACTAATAGTAGAGTATACTAAATGATTGATCTTGAGCACGAAGCTCTATACAAAAGAAATCCATCTTGATTATATAGTCCTTCGTGCCTATGGTTAACTAGGAATCGTCGTTCCTGGGAACGAGCGTTCCTGGTTGTTCCTAGAAACGTTCGTTCCTCACCGTTCCATCACATGTTTTATGGTCATGTGACATACTAATCGTTTTGGACGTAACATTCAGGGGTAAGGTTAAGACCAACATTCTTAGGCTTTATGATCGAGGTCTTTAAATGAGTTTTTTAATATTCAAAAAGTTTTGGATACTTGAAGATAATTTAATAAATTGAAAAGATCTTTATATATATAATATTTTAAATAAGATTTAGAATACATATATAATTTTTTTAATTTATTGAATAATATATTTATATTTCTTTTAAAAAAAAATAAACTTCATTATTTTTAAAAATATAAAAATATCAAAATATCAAAATATCAAAATATCAAAATATCAAAATATCAATCTTTTTTAATTTAATTATTTAACATATTACAATTTTTTAAAATATGTGTTAAAGTGAATGGTTGTCACACTCAAGAATACTGGGTAAAGTATCTTGTATTAGAAAATACTAAGCTAAGGAGAAAAGAAGAAGGAAAACAAGAGTAGAGAGTTTTCCTATGATTAAATACAAACGGGGCATGCCACGTGACCCGGAGGTGTGAGGCGTCACAATGGTTCTGTAACGATACTGTACTAAAGGTAGCGGCTGCCTGTTACAACGGCTATCTTCTATGCCGTGTCACATGACTAAACCAAGGTAACGTGATTAAAGTCACGTTATGGACCGCTGAGGAACGCTGGCTGTCCAGGAACGCTGGCTGTCCAGGACCGCTGCGCGGTCCTGACTAGCCATAGGCATGAAGGTCTATATAATCAAGATGGATTCCCTTTGTATAGAGCTTCGTGCTCAAGATCAATCATTTAGTATACTCTACTATTAGTTACGAATTGCATATCATTATTGTCATTACTTCAAGTCCCTGCTTGACGCCTAGTTATAAACCTACTTCGAGAGCCTAGAGCACTTCCACGTGATCTAGACGGCAAACCTCGTAACACTGCCTAAGGTTCGTCGGTTGGTAGTTATGGGTTAAGGCTTTATCACTGGTATTCACTTGGAAGTGAAGTCGTTACTAGATCAAGTAGAATGTAGGTAAACTAATTGATAACTAAGTTGAGCACGAAGCTCCTAAACTATGAAACTACTCTGACTATATAATGAACGATAAAGGGAGCCTCTAGGAGCTTTTGAGGGCTCCTTCAAGACTCCTTATCACGCGATTTCTGATGGTGCGTGCGCATACGATCTTCAGGTGACCAAGATCACATACTAATTCGATGAAATCTGATCGTGTTTGCACAAGGCCTAAGCTCTCCTAATTAATCAGTTTGCTACCATCGTAACACCATCAATCCTAATGGTGAATCGTGACAGGTTCCTGCGCAGCACGTGCACAGGGCACTAGTCCTATTAGGACTAGATTGAGAAGCTCTCTGTAGGAGAGCTTCGCACTTCTGTAGAACTTAGAAGAGTGATTAATATACTAGATCAATATTACCTCAGTTCTGCCCTATCAGCTTCCCACTATTCCCTGTGTAAGGTCATTCCTTTTAACAATATGAATATTTATTATATTTAAATAAAATATTTATATCTAGAAGATTAACATATATTATTATTTAATTTTTTAAATTTTATAAATCTTTTAATTAATCAAATTTAAAATTCAAGATTTGAAAAGCTTATATTTTTTATTATTAAAATCTTATATTTTATTTTAAAAAAGCTATACATTTATAATTAATCTTAAAGATATCAAGTATATACAAATATCTATAATCTATATATACATCATCTAAAAAAACAACTCTATAAATCTATTCTATTCCATCCCAAAGCATTCCCAAATCCCATATACAGAAACATACATACCCAATCTACCTCTTCACACACCAAGCCGGCGAACCCCCCAAAAACCCAAAACACAACATCGCAACCACAGCACACATTCCCGCCACCACAGCATTCATATTCCCATACCCAACACTATCTCTCAACAACCCCGCAATCACAGGCCCAATCGTAAACCCCGCGCTAAAAACCATACTATTCAACGCATATAATTGCGCATATGGACCTTCCTCTCCAAACAACTCCCTATTCGCAGAATGATATTTCTCCGCTACGAATGAGGCTTCCACTATACTCGGTGCACCGATCATAGACAAACCGAGTCCGCACAGCGAGAGCAAGATACAGAAAGTTACGAGATCATGCGTGGTATTTTCGACGGGTAGACGGAGGAGGATAAGTGGGAGGATGAAAAATGTATAACCCGCTGTTCCGATGATTTTGGGTCCGTATCTATCGACTCCCATGCCGGCGATGGGTCCGAAGGTTAAGGATGTGAGAACTAGGGGTGTGAAGAGTAGACCGGTTTTTAGAGCTGAAAATCCGAATAGTGATTGTGATTGTGTGGGGATGGTAGCGTCGAATACAGCAAGGATAATCGCTTGCATGAATGCTACTAATTCGGCGGTAAGTAATCTGGGCGAGGAGAGAAGAAATAGAATTGGGAATTTCTGGACATATTCCGGTAGTTCTTTTTGGATTCTCCATGATTCGATATCGGTATCCTTTCCATTTCCCAATAATGGTGCATCTTCTTCTTGTTCACCATTCTCATTTCTCTCCATCCCATCACTCTCCGTCTCATCACCATTACTCTCTTCTCCCCCCTCCTCAACACAATACATCCTCGCAACCTTCTTCTCAATCAACACCCCTCTCATCAAAAAATCCAACCCCAACAATACCATCCCCATTCCAAAAACCGCCTCACTTCCCACCTTATCATAAACCACACCTCCCAACACCGGCGCCACCAACTCCCCCACACTTATAAAACTAAAAATACTCCCCACCGTCACCCCCAACTTCTCACTCCCAACCGTATCCATCACCAACGCCAACCCAATCGTCCACACAATCGCCCCAGAAACCCCCTGAAAAACTCTCGCCGCAATCAAAACCTCAATACTCCTCCCCACCATCAAAAAGCACTGTACTAGCAAGGCAGGGCTCCCCAACCCCACCAAAAACGGCAATTGCCTTCGAAGCTCCACCGAATTCGGTATTCATCCTGTCGGAAAACGAGAATAA